GGGGTTGGCACCCTGACGTGGGATGAGCATGGGACAAGGCTGGAGCCCAGGTTGTCCTGGCCTGGTGTCCCGGTCCGGCATCACTTGCTCTGGGGCCAGTCCGGACTTCAGTTTCTTTGTCAGGAAAATGGAGGAGCCAGATGGCAACAGGGCTTGCAGACGGCCCCTGTGAGGACCAGCGAGCTGAGGTTTCAGGACTCTGGCGCAGTGCAGCCTAGGCCAGCACTCTCCCCACTCCACTCCCATTCCTTCTGTCCAGGCCAGGTGTGACCACAGCCTGGTGGAGAAGTGCAACCACTCCTTCCCGCCCTGTCCGCGCTGGATGGGTCACTGCAGAGGGGCTGTTAGGGGCTGGGAAGGGGCTCTGGCCTCCCTCCGCCTCTGTCTGAGAGGACCCAGCTAAACACGAGGCACACGCTTCAAACCTTTTGCCACCCCGGACTGCTGCCACGTGAGAGGACCTTGAAAAATGTATGGCAAAATGGAATTAAGGTACGAGTTTACTTTGGAAACCCATGCGTGGTTTTCTCATAATATGCATTTTCCACGAACTTTTCAGTCTTTTACAGTAGAATGTCAGAGCCGCCTCTTCTGCATGAGGCTTTTGAAGGGACATTTTTATTATTGTGACACTTCTCCCTTTTCCTCCAAAACTAGATTTGTTCTTTCATTTTAAAGTGAATTCTAGAGTTTATTTATTTATTTATTTATTTTGAGAGTTTTTTGCTATAGGGCGTGTGCATTCACCAGAAAGAGAGAGATAGAGAGACAGGGAGACAGGAAGCGAGAAATCACCCTCCGGGGGGGATGGTCACGCCGCAATCCCTTCTCCTCTATTCTCCTCTTGGGATCTTGGGCACGCACGCACATGCACCCAGCATGAGTTTAAGCCACCGGGTCCAGGACTCGAACCGTGGTTGACTACATGGGAGTCCAGCGACATAGCTATTACGCTAACTGCTAGTCCCTAGAATTTTATTTTGTAGAATTTAGGGATTTTTGAGATTCTCTTGGAGGTTCTCCTGGGGAGATCTCTTGAGACCCTCACACCAGCCCTGGGATCTGCCTTAGGAAGGGGATACACTCGGCCTGTGTTTGGGGCAAAGAAAGTCTTTTTAAAGCATTCTCTTCCCTGTGCCCTGTGGCCAGGAGACTGCCGTGGTGTCAGGGCTGGGGAGAGGCCATCAGACTCCCCTGTTTTTAGCCCTCAGTCACGAAGGGGACCAGGAGCGGTGCTGCTGCCTCGCCCAGCTGTGGGCATTCGGGAGAGTCCCCAGAGGACCCGCGGTTCTCGGGCAGGGCGGTGGAACAGGCATTCGTGAGGACCCCCAACTGCCCGGGCCTGTGGTGCTGGCGTCTGCTCCTTCTCACGTCGAAACAGCTCCTGAGGACAGCAGGCCCCAGGTCCACGCGGGGGCTGCCACGTGCTGCAGCGTGGCTGAGTGGGTACCTTGCAGAAGCCAGGCAGCCACGGGAACGCAGCAGCAAGGGCCACGCTGGGGCCTCGGTTCCCAGGAGGGGGCCGGACGAGCTCACCCTCAGGGCAGTCGTTCCACAAATGAGACCGGCTCTGACGCAGACTGGCTTCGGGACCTCAACGGTGGCCCTCGGCCTCTGAGCACAGCGTCCTGGCCTCTGGGATGGCCACCGGCAGCCCTACCTAGTGTGGCTATTGTGGTGACGGAATACACACCGCGCGGATGTGCTCAGGCAGACCCTGGGCCGCGGTCAGTGCTCAGTGACCGCCTGCTGCTGTCCCTCTGTCCATCGCGTCCCTCTGTCCACACAGATACGTGCAGCAAGGTACCTCGTGCTGACCTTGCCCACCTGGTCCTGGGAATTAGGGTGAGCAGTGGGTTCCACCGCAATAAGGGACACTCTT